GGGGGACGCGGCGGCTGCCGGTCCGCCCGGTGAGCTATGCATGCGTGTTCATCGGGCCCATTAGTGTGTAGCCTAAGATAGTGTATAAAATATGGCCCTGATCGGTGGTGCGACCTGCTCGCTCCCTGCCTGGTCCGGAATGGCGCGTGGGCTGCGGGCAGATTATGGAAAAGATTTAAGGGGGCGCGTCAGGAACAGGAGAACTGAACACTAATTCGGGAACAATAACTACTTCCTTCCCAAACAAAGATGTGCAGCAGTAACTGATATATCAACCGAACACTATTTGACCAGGCATGGCGATGAATAATATAGGTCGTTTTTGTATTGCCTTCTGAGCAGAGGAAATGTTTAATCCGTACTTTTATATTTCACTCCTTTCATCTCCTATCATCTTTCTCTCCAAAATAAGATCATTAGGTGATTTGGGAAATTACGGAAAACAAGAATTCTTGTCTCAGATTTGTAATAAAACGAAGAAATGTGTGGGAACATTACGCCGTTATCCATTTCGATTCAAAAAAATGTTTCAGGTGAAAGTTTTCTGTTCCTGAATTTTTTCTTGTAACATGCAATACAGTTTTGAGAGTTCCGTGTGTCTTCCTTGCAGAAGAAGTGAATGTTGCACCAGTGTACTATTTCTCTCTTGATAATATTAACGTTCATTTCATATATTTTTTGTTAATTGTGTATTTCTTGCGACATATTTATTTCCCATGGACACATCTGTTACAAATCTGTTACAATCTGTTAATTTCTAAAAAAAAAGAAAAAAACGAGCAAAATTTGTTACTTGATTAATTCGCAATTATCTCTCTTCCATTCAAAGAATTAAAACACAAAAAAACAGCAAAAAACAAGAGACAATGTGTAATTTTTTACTCTTTAAAGTAATGACGATTTCGCAGTTTACGTAATGCTGTTAACTTCAATAATATTTCACTCTTCGCAATTACCTAAATATGATAGCTAATTATGTGTAATCATGCTTTGCGTGTGTTCATGTATCTTTCAGTTTAAAAGGGATAAAACGTGCTCTCTGTAAGTCGGTTTTTGGCCAGGCTATAAATGCCTTAATCATAAAAGTTAAATAATGCATCACCCGCTTTTATTCACTAAATTTGTGCAAACAATTTATGATAAAATATTATTTGCATTTCTGACATAGCTTTCTATAAATTTCTACGTGGTAACACCATTTACTCGTAGTTTGTAATATAAATTTCAAGTTCAAAAGTGTTAGATATGCTTAATATAGGATGCATTCAAGTACTTTTGTCGTCAGTATTCGATTAAAACACTCTAAGTATACATTGAATAATTGTAAAATAAGTGTTTATTTTTCTATGAGGTTGATTTACATACATAATGTAATATAGTGTCAGTTTAGTTTATTTGGTCTGCAAAAGAAACAGCATTCATTGGGATTTCTCATAAAACAATCAAAGTTGTGTTTACTAGAAAATATTATACTTATTATTTAGGAAAGGTATCTCCGGCCACCTAATAATACACTATAATGTTAGCATTTGATATATAATGAAACTTCATGTCAGTCGTCAAAACCGAATGATTAAAAAAAATGTATATTGTAATATATATTAAAATCTCTTTTTCAATATGAAAATAACCACATATACAACAATCTCATTGTTATTTTTATTTGCTTTTTTATTACTTATTGTTTTCTTCTAATGCATTTCATATAAAACAAGACACATGAAGCATTAGTCTACCAATAAGAGCAAGAACAACTGAGGTGACTCTTTGCTTCCCCTCCCAAGGTGTCGCGTGTAATGTAGCCTGTCAGACTATCATCGCCCCATGCCGGTACGCCCACTGTACGCCCACTCGGCGAAAAGAATGAATTCTGATCACGGCAAGGTTTATGTCTTATGAAATATTCAAAAATTTAAATTGTTAATTAATACAATGACGATACATATCGCGATTTCCACTTAAATTTCGTGGACAATATTTTTCTCGCTGCTTGCCTCCGAGAAGTGTAATATAGGACAACGATATGCTATTTTTAGTTGATTAAATGTATAAATTACCAGTAGTGAATGTCATCTTTGAGTGCAAACATCCCCCACAACAGGAAGTAAGGTATTTGAAAATTTCGTTAATAAGATCATGGCAATTGTGTCAACTTGGGATGTAAAATTATTTGTATTGTTCATGGCACTTATATGTCTATTAGAAAAATAGTATGTCGTCCATAACTCCAAACTTAACAGCCAACTGACATGACAAAGATTCCAGAAATATATGTTTCATGCTATGTCATCGATTACGGATATAAACAATTTTTACCTATAAACTTTAATTCAATTGACAATATTATTATTCAAACGTTCGTACATTAAAGCCTTTCTGATCTATTTTACCAGAGTCTCTTTTGAGGTGATATATTCTGACGAAATACGAACAAGAATATTGAGTTTTTGATTTTTAAATAAATTCCCCTAAGTACATATAACCTCCATTATCCGTGCTAATGACTGGTTAGAAAGTGAATGGATCATAGAAAACTCCCAGCAATGGAAATATTTTTTATTTGTTCCAGCATGTTTTTTAAACTTTATTACTTAATTAATTTATTTACTTAATTCTTTATTTTTGTTTCTTTATTTGTTTATTTCTATGAAGACTGCTAAAAATAATGTGTGCCGTTTAATGTAGATATATATGCAGTTAGTAGGTTAGCCTTATTACCCTTTTTTGAATCTATAATAGTTCTTTTTATTTACTATTTCGTACCTAACGCCTGGACTTTTTTCTCGTGATCAATGCAAATTTTATTTTCAAATGAATGTTTATTTAGTCCAGAATAATGGAGGTTCCTCAGTATCATAACATTTAAAAGCTATTATTTGTAAGAAACCTAGTTTTAACTACAATAAATCAGTATGTATGTAATAAATAAGGTCCATAAAATATCTTTTGCGCTCTCAGTATATGATTATATTCTAAGGCTTTGCGTATAAAACAGACTTGTTAAAGAACTTTCATCTTTCATTGTCGTTGATTATCTTCGCAGAGAAGGAACCTTTTGAATTGGGGAACAGGTTTACTGAGGATATGAGTATAATTTGAGATCTCATGAATTTAACCTTCTCTGGCGCTTCTTATCGGTGACTCAGTGCGTTCATATAGCTTTGGAAAGCACGAGGAAGAATCTCGAGACATTGGTTTCTGAGGCAGCCTCTGGAGGGATGAACCAGCGGACGCGATAAGCAGCGGGGAAGTAGAATGTATTGGAGCTCGCCGACGGCAGCGGAGTCGCTCATCCCCGCCAAGCCCCCCCCCTCGCACCACCCGCCCCCACCGCCCCGCATCGCCCTCAATCCCGGCGGGCGCTCCGCCGCACCGCCTGAAGACGCCCGTCCCGTCATCAACCGTCCGCCCTCCGTCGCGCCCCGCCCCCACCCCGCCCCCCCCCCAGCCGCGATCGTATAATTCGGCTCGGAAATTCGGAGAACTCTAAGGGGCTCTTCCCTCGCCTATATCCTCACTTTTCAATTTCGCCCAGCAACTCTGAGCAGTCGGACGCGAGGAGTAAACTTTGCGATGCCGACAAGTCATAAAGCGCCCGGCATTATGCATTACGCGGGGCCGCTTTTTATCTCCGGGCGCAGCGTTTGCGAGCGGCGGGGGCGGCGCGGGGCGGGCGGGGCGGCCGCGGGCGGAGCGAGGCGCGGAGCGGGGGCGCCGGCGGGGAGGCGGCGGGGCGAGGTTGGACACAGGGGAGTAAGACGGGTTGCTAGGTGAGGCCTGTCCCCCGGCATGAAACCGCCTGCCTCAAAGACGCAGGCCGGCGACAGAGCCACTTGCAAATCCGACGGACGCGAGCAGCAGAGCGAGGCCGCGAGAGGCGGGGGCGGGGCGGAGAAGGGGGAGGGCGAGGCAGAAGATTGGTCGCGGAGGAAACGGGATTCGGGTCTTGGGGGATGAGGCCTGGGGATACGCGCAGTCGGGCTCCGACTGGGAGTCGAAGACGTGCAACTTCTGGAGGACAATGAGAAAAGTGGGTAAATAGTCGATTGAAGTATACAGCGAACGGGCCTGAGGGCCTGTTTGTCCAAATTGTGTTAGCATAAACGTCCGAAAATGTAGTGGGGCAACTTCAGAGGTAAACTGTGTGGCAATACGTTATTGTAACATTCAAATATTGTCGTGTCATCCATCACAAAAAAAAAATGTTTAATAATTTTTAAGGCGAACGCTTTTCGAATCAAAGAAGAATTGCAGGATGGTAACAATATATTGAGGCATAAAAGAAGATTTTTATTTTCGTGAAGGAAATATACAACTGTTAATCAATCCCATTGTGGTCACGTAGTATAGAGTAGGGTTGCAATGATGATACTTGCGGAATGCAGAATAATATATGACTGATAGATATTTATTTTATGAATACAATTAAGATTATTTTTTGACTCGACCTGTTAAATTTTTATCGGTTTTTGAGAAGACAGTGAAGGTCTGGAGTTGAATTATGAACCTGGCTCTACAGTGAATGAATCTTCTCCACACATATACTTACAGTTATTTTTGATCTTGTATTCTCCAATGCTCATATCTATAATTATTTAAAGTCTTTAAAGGAGTTTGCGGAAAGAGACATCTGATAATTATGACAAAAACAGGTTTAAATTAATGTTCGATAAAGATTAAAATACATGTGTTTATTTATCAAAAACAAATAAAAAGATACCATCTGACATTAGATAAGAAACGTTACATTCAGTGTCCAAAAGCGAATGAAGTTACCATCCATTTTTTCAAAGAATCAAGAAGAATTAAAATACTACCCGACCCAGATGTACCAGAACCAGACGAACATATAGTTGTGATGCATGTAAACAGATTTTTAAAATGTTTCATGAACTCACTACCTCATCAGAACCATCTTCTCTAAATTTGTCATTATATTCCTTTTTTCCTTCACTTTCGCAGATATGCCGGTGGTGACGCTGAAGATGGGATCCAGCCTCAACCCCGACGACATCAAGGAAGGGGACGACGTCTACTTCGAGTGCAACATCCGAGCCAATCCCAAAACCTACAAGCTCGCCTGGTTCCACAACGTAAGTGTCTATATTCTAATGCCTGTCCGCAGTATCCCGTGTCGGCACCATTAGCCAAATGCTAAACTGCGCTCCGTGAGGTCACGGAAGGTAAGCAACTCAATACACCACGGATTCCTATACGGGTGACCGTCTGGGATCCGCAGTTACTAACCACGCTAAGCCCCTGGCCAAAGGGATAAAAGGTACTGACTACGACGTGACGTGACGAAAAAGTCGGAAACTTCAAGGATTATTCTAAGTCCACTCAAAGTGTACTAAGAGATCTGTTGCGAACACGCAACAAATTATTATTTTTTTAAGTGCTGTGTTGCGAAAGGCATTGCTTGTGTCTACCATTCATTACTCAGAAATGAATTATCTTCGAAAATGGTAGAATGTGTTAGAGATATATTCATTATGTTCTGGAATAACTCATTTGAGAGTCTGGATTGCGGGATGAAGAAATAATAGTTAAATATAATGTTTTTTATAATGAATATGCAAAGATAATTCACAGGGTATAATATTTATTTTATTCAAAACACTTAAAATGCATTTTAATGCTTAAAATCTTGAGGAATTCCATATAATATGCGCACGTCTCTTGAGTCCCGGAGTACATACCCCCACTTCTTTACTAACATTATTTGAATTCAGAATAAATAATAGTGCCTATTATTAACCAAATTCGCTGTCAGGAAATATTAGCACCCTTGTAATAGAAACAATTCTGCATCAAAAATACCAGCTACACGTTTAATTTTATTGTCCGGTCGTCACAATAACCTATAAATAACCTAACCAGTACTCCTCTCGCATCTAGTAAAATGATGGCCCAAGAAAACGTGCGGGGATACTAAAAATTTAGAAATTAGGAAATAATTTCTCCATGAATTACATACCCGTGCATGCCAAATGTTCTAGTTGTGTTGCAGACTATAATCAAATTAATTCGAAATAAAATACACTATAATAAGCAATGCTGTATAACATATAAATAAATTATATTTAAACTACAACTAGATTCGAGCGTAAATAATGTAAGATTCGCAAGGTGTGTTCCTAGAGCCTACTTTGAGAATCATTGTCCAAAGTGGAAAACATTTCCCTTCTTCATTTAGTTGCTCTAATTTCTCATCTGGCTTTCCAAAGATGGTGGCCACTTCGAAAACTACTGCCAACGTGCTTGTATTGGCGACAAATGGTTTCCCCTCTTCATCTAGATTCTCATCACCGTCGGTGTGTCGATAGATTTCGTGTGTGTGCGTGCGTGCAGAAATAATAGTCCGGCTCGTTCTAAATATTGTTCATGTTTAGATAACATGAACAATATTCAGAACGAGCTGGTCTATTAGTTATCTACAAATCATTCATGTGCAATTATTTGTGATATGATTTTGTTCAACGACGTATTTTATAGTGAAAAATATGAGGTCGACGAAGAGAACTATTCTATTAAAAGGAATTGTTTCAAGAAAAAGTGTTGGCATTTCTGATCTACATCCACAGTTACTTCTCGTCTGGCGTTTCAAGGCATGTCGCAAACGTCTTTCGCGCTCACAAGCTGCGTATCTCAGCCCACCCCAAACTCGACACTTGTCGTGCGTTCCCAACGCAAGAGCAGACGAGGTCTTTCATGTCGTCTCGACCTGACCTGAGCCAATGTCGGCACGGTAATGTTCTTTACGGCGAAAAACAGGTGATATTCTTGAATTGCTGGTGGTCGTAAGTAGAGAAAAAAGTTATGTAAAGCTGCACGAAAAATGGCTAATTTTTGTCACTAAAACATTTATTACAGGGCCCTCGCAACGAAAAGATTTATAAATCCCGTTGCTAAATTTGAAAAAAATCCTCCAACTCGTGGTATAGCCAGAATCCATGTTTTGTGGGTACTTGATACAGAACACTCGAATGGCGGCAAAACGTCTGTCTGTTTATCTGTCGGTGAATTACGATAGCAGCTAAACCGTTCAGCCGGATTTTTTTCAAAATTGATATTCTTCAACTGATCTGGCTGGTGTCGCGGCCCCTTGAATTTTAAATCGATATTTTAATTTTAGAGGGTACTTTACATGAAACCCCTGGACATTTCTAAAATTGAAAAAAGTGGCTTCATCGCTTTTAATTAAACTTTGTTGTATTTTATAAGGAACGTTTAAGAAATGGCGCAGGTCTCATTTTCGTTGAAAATCCGACGTCGATGTTTCGAAAAGGTCAAATGTCGATGTTTTGAAAATTGCAAAAATTCAAATTTTTTTTCAGTGTCTTCAACTGCAATTATGAATATAGAAATATTTTTCATAAAAATGTGCCCCTTAAAACTAGATTTTGAAATAATGTCATGTACAATTTTTGTATATTTAAATACTTTTCTCTTAATTTAGCGTGAATGTACAAGCGAGAAAGTACGTGCTGTTTTAGATTCATAATTTCTTAGTTTTTGGTTGTTTCGCTTTTTGACGGGGAGTGCATGTAGCTAGTCGAATATATTTTAGTATTCAGTATTATTTTTCCTGGGTCTAATATTTTTCAATTTTTTTTGTTTTGTTTGCGTTTCGTTCTAGTTAATTGCCGTCGAAATTATGGCAGGATTAATCTCAGTGTAGTTAACTGTATCTATTGTGATAACCTGTCTATCACTTTAAAATAGGTATATTAAAATTTAGTTAATTGAATGCTTATTTTGCCTTCTGTAAAAATGCACGTAAAGAGAGAAAAACATAGAGAGCGACACTGTTTTGAATTTATAAAAACTGTAATGATGTAATTACCTAATTACGAAATTATAGTGTTTTTTTGCGCAATAATGTTGATTCACAAGCAACAAAAACTAAAATTCACTTTTCACACCTATTCTCAAGGATGGGAAGAGAATTTGATGTTAAATGTACATATTCGCTCTCAAAGGAAAGAGTTTCGTTTGTTTTTGAAAACAACAGAAAATCAACATGAAATATTCTTAAACAAACTTGTTTTTCAAAAATGTTTAAGAACACATATGTTATTTATTTTTACATTGTATTCCTGCTGTTTTCACTTGTAAAAACTATTAAAAAAACTTATTTTCTTGTATATGAAAATTAGTTTATCCTGCTTTGAGAGACAATTTGTGATCACGATAATCACGTGAAAATGGGCATGTGAAGGTAGGCAGGCAACTAAAAGGCTTCTGTGTCAACAAAGCTTCAGTTGCAGTCGCTACTACACAAGTTAACTCAACCAGCGATTTTCCCGTGTACCTTCTCATGTTAGATCATCTTCATCGATAAAATTCATTTGCCCGCAGATCGACTGAGCGAGGAGCGGCGGCGCGTTCCTGGCGCGTGACTCGGCAGGCCGCTTACTTCCCCTCATCTCGCGCCGTCGGCGGAGCGTCTCGCCTTTGATATCTCCCTTTCCGCGACGGTTTCCTGATAAATCTGCGTCCCCCTCCCCTCCCCTCCCTTTTCGCTGCCTCCCGCCCGCGCCCCGCTCTCCTCCATCGCCGGCGGCATAACGCCGTATCAGCGGCGTCGCTAGCGCCATTTAAATTTCCTGCACACTTGAACATGCCTTCATGCGCACAGCCGCGAACGACGCCCGGGGCCACGAGGGGGGCGCAGGGGACGGCGCGGCCGGGGTGGCCGGCGGGGCGCGAGGGGCGAGTGGAGAAGCACGAGGCCGCCGGGAAGGGGGGGCGCAGGGCGCCCTCTTTTGAGCAACGGCTAATCGCGGTCGCCGTCTCTAGATAGGCGTTGATGCACGGCCTTTGGCAGCGCGGCGGGTCGGCCGCGCCGCCAGCCTGATCCCCCTCGGCGGTGCCGGGGAGGGGAGAGACGGGGCGAGGACGGGGGCGGGTGGGGGTTCCCCAGGGAGGACGCCGATTTTTGCGAGGAATCCAGAGGACGGCGCCGTGGGGGGTGGAGCGGGCGGTGGCCCGGATTTCTCTCTGCCTGTGGATTTTGTTTTCTCTTTTCAACGCGCATTCATTGGTTTGGGTCATTGTCTACTTGCTCGAACCTGTTTTTGTCCGGTTATCAGATTATATTGGCAAAAATTGCGAACGGATTTCGAAAGATCTTATTTATACTGATCTCATTTAACATGTTATTGATGAGTGTGCGCTTTTCGTTAATTTCATAACGCTAATGGAGTCACTCTGAACTCATCGTTTCTTCATGACGACGATATTTTTTCACTTCATTCAATTATCTTTTTCTTCTTGTTTATTATTCTGTTATTTTTAGTGTTAATTTAATCTCACTTCTTTTTTTACAGTTCTCTATGTTACTTCACTCTTTTTATTTGTATTACATCTCTTTTAGCTTCTTATTCGTTTTTTCCATTTTATTATTTCCTTTTCCTACCTTTTTCTATCCCTCGCGCGTATCTGTATCACTTTTGAAACGTTAAGGTCAATCGATCTGTAATTGAGCTTCTATTGACGAAATCCACACCACGCCAAAGGCAAAAAATCCTTCAGTGTACTCAAAAGCCGTCTGGTTTTGAATTACCTTCGCCTTTAAAAGCGAGAATGATTCCAGTTCTCATGCCAAGATAAAAACTCGGTGGAAATACGTACTCCCTGCGTTTGAGCAGTTTCGTGACTGAAACATTTAAGAGATGAAATTACACAAATTTTGAGAGCGAGTCTTCAAATGGCTTTAAGTTTAATTTATAAGTAGGTGTAAACCAGAGGTAACATTCCCTTTCATTCAGTGTCACGAAGGCCCTGTACAAAGGTGCAAAAGAAAGGATTTACGCGGCTCTATCATTTTTATTTTTGTCTATTAAGTGTAAAGCATTAATGACATTTATTTATCGAAAATAACTAATGCTACTATGCATCATTATCTCTTTTTTCTGCAGAAATATTAAATAAGGATAGAAATAATGTATCGGTTGAAAAAGTGGCAAGCTTATTCTACACGTCTTCCTTTGTAATCATCAGTCGATGGATTGTTCTGCATCTTTGGGAATATATACAGGGTCTTATTTTCTCTTCCAATTATATAACGTCTAAAATTGGCGACTGTAAC